ATAAACAGAGGTAACCTAAGTAAGAAAGGAGTGGTAATCAGAGAGGGCTTCTCTGAAATGAAGAAATTAGGCTTAAGCTAACACCTACCCCATCTCTATTTAAAATACAAAAATTAGCCAGAGGTGGTGGCATGTGGCTGTAACCCCAGGTACTTGGGAGGCTGAGGCAGAATTGCTTGAATCTGGAAGACAGAGGTTTCAATGAGCTGAGATCACTCCACTGCACTCCAGCCAGCCTGGGCGACAGTGAGAATCCATCTCAAAAAAAAAAAAAAAAAAAAAAAAAAAAAAATAGAAAACTTAAACAGAGGTAACCTAATTAAGAAAGGGGTGGTAATGGTCAGAGAAGGCTCCTCTGAAGAAATTAGGCTTAAGCTAACACCTTGAGAATTATGCTTTAGTCAGACAAAGAGGGAAGTTGGAGGTCAGAGCATTCCAGGAAAAGAGAAAGACCCTTTAGACGGTCCTGAGGCTGCCTGTCATGAGAAAGAAAAATAGACAGGAGGTTTGGAGGCAGAGCTGTATCATGCAGGGCCTTGTTGTCCACGAGAAATTTGAACTTTTGAGTGCAGTAGAAGACATTAAGAGATTATAAGTAGGGAAGTGTCATCCTCCAAATCATCTTTATATAAAGGTCACCTCTGGCTGCTATGCATATTGGATGGAAGGGAAGCAAAAACAGAAGTGGGGAGGTCAGGAGGCTACGGCAGTACCCTGGAAAAAAAATATGGAATCTTGGACCAGGGCGTTGGCCATAGAGCTGGAAGAAATGAGCTGATTCAAGATGCAATTTGGAAGTAGAAATAACAGAACTTGGAGATTGTCTGATTACAGAATTAAGGAAGGTTTCGAGAATGCTCTTCAGGTTTCCAGTCTGAGTGACTAGGTACATGGAGGTGTCATTTACTAAAATGGCAGATACAGGAGGAAGAGCAGGTTTTTAGAGAAGATCACATTTTCAAGGATAAGTTTGAGATATTTGAGAAACAATGGGCCTTTAAGAAGTGACCTACAATATACGATGTAATTGCAATACTGGTTCTTTCTTTCTTTCATTCTCAAAGGAGGTGAATTTCTTTTTTCTGGGAGCTACTGGCAATTTCTTATGCTTACAGAGTAGCACTTGACATAATGCACTGACATACATTTTCCAACTTAAGCCCCCCAGCTACTCTGAGACAGCCATGACTTAGTATCCTCATTTTATAAACAGAGACTGTGAAAAGTGTAGTGTTATTTATTCAGACTGTGGTAGGCACCACTACATTCCAAGCTGTGTGCCAGGCCATGAGCAGGAAATAAGGGTAGAAGATACAATACCATTTCAAGGATGATATAATAAAATAGTATCATGACAACACTCTTCCCAGAAATACTCTCTTCTATCCTTAGGTACACAAGTCCTAGGACAGGATGCCCCAAGAGTGATTAGACATAACTCTAGGAAATAAAAACCAAAAACACCCCCTAAAAAGTCTTCCAGCCTGAGCATTAGAAACTCTCCAAGTGAGAAGTTTGTAGAGAAGCAATTGAGAAAACGAGGGATGCTACAGAGATCTGAGCACCTTGTCTCTAGAGCTTTGGTGAATAAAGTCTTATGGTTTATGGAAGAGACCCTACTATGGCTGTGCAACTGTGAATTAATGAGATGAGATTAAGGACCTGTTTAAAGAGGCTAATACCATATCCCTATTCAAGTGTATGAAACAAGGAAGAAACAAAAAGACCAACACTGAGCACACTCTATCTTCCACACTCATGGGCTCTCATCCCTCCAAATGTGTAATTTCCAAGCTAGTGGAGCTGAGTTCTCCTAGAAGCCATAGTGGCAGGTCCTGGGACTTCAATTTCATTAAAACACAGCTGATGCTGCTGGCTCAGTGCCTTGGGCAACAGGAATGTGGGTCAGATAAAAACTGTCCATGTCAATCCTGTTTCCAAGATCAAGGCTTAGCTCACCTTATAGCAACTATCCTGGCATAAGGAAAAGTAACCCAGAAATTTAAGACTCCAGTTTTCTTTCTCCAAAGGGTGCTTTCTCCCAGGTACCTCAATCAGAAACCATTTTCTTTTTTTCTTTTGAGACAGTCTTGCTCCACCCACACTGGAGTGCAGTGGCACGATCTTGGCTCACTGCAACCTCTGTCTCCTGGGTTCAAGCAATATTCTTGTCTCAGTCTCCCGAGTAGCTGAGACTACAGGCACCTGCCGCCATGCCCAGATAAGTTTTGTATTTTCAGTCGAGATGGGGTTTCACCTTCCTGGTCAGGCTGGTCTCAAACTCCTGACCTCAGGTGATCCACCTACCTCAGCCTCCCAAAGTGCTGGGATTACAGGCGTGAGCCACTGCGCCTGGCCCAGAAACCATCTTCTGCCCAGATTTTGCAGGGACTAATTTTCTTATTTGTTTATTATTATCATTTTTAATAAAGTCGGGGTTTCACCATGTTGCCCCCGCTGTTCTTGAACTCCTGAGTTCAAGCAATGTACCCGCCTCAGTCTCCTAAAGTGCTGGGATTACCAGTGTGAGTCATGTAATCCCAGTGTAAACTGTGCCTGGCTGAATTTTCTTACCCCCAGTTGTCATTTCCAATTGTCTTTTCCATCTCTTCCCTAAAAGACATGTAGGGAAACAAGAGGGGAGAAATATTTAGCCTTCCTGCTCAGCAAGGGCTCTCTTGTCTTGGGCACTGTTTAGAGAGCTCAAAAGAGGCAATAACACTTATCTTAAACCCATGGATAAAATGAAGTACATACAAACTCATCTAAAAAGAAAGGTCAATCAAAGAGCTATAACAGGCTGTGCCTGGTAGGTGAGCCTGTGACTCCAGCATTTTGTGAAGCCAAGGTGGGAGGACTGCTTGAAATCAGGAGTTCCAAGATCAGCCAGGGCAACATAGCAAGACCCTGTCTCTACAAAAATAAAATAATTAGCTGGGCATGGGGGCATGCACCTGTAAAGTGGCCCAGCTACTCCAAAGGTTGAGGAAGGAGGATGCTTAAGCCCAGGAGTTCAAGGGTACATACAGTGAGCTATGATTGTGCCATTGCACTCTAACCTGGACAACAGAATGAGACTGTCTCTAAAAATAACTTTTTTTTTTTTTTTTAAAGAGCTATAACAGAAGGTGCCATTTATGTAAACTCAGTTCTCCTCTTCTATGCTGAACCCAAACCACTTGGTAAATTGACTTGATCAATTCACTAGGACTGAGAAGCCAGTGAGGGGACAACTGCAGCAGCCTCTCATTTCAGATCCAGAGGGTTTCCCTGGGATGGAGATAACCTGAAAATGAAATGCTCCTCAATGATAGACAAGCATTGACCTAAGAATGAGCATTCAAGCAGAACAGCAAATCTTCCCTTCAAGGAATTAAGATTTATTGAAAAACTACATACATATTAAAACATCTTTATATACATTTTCCCCATTATAAGATTACAAATATACAAACATGAGTATTGTCAAAGTCAGCATCTTATTAGAAAACTTTAGAAAATCTACAACCTAATCTCATCAATTAAATTGGTATTCCCACCTCCCAATAAAAAACTGGCACACTCTCTTCCAGCTTCCCAAGTCTAGCTCCTGACACGGAAGCCGTAACATTCACATAGAATGTTTTTCCAAAGCAGCACTGCTGCTCAGTTCTGAGGGGAAAAACATTTGTTCGAAATTCTGAGAAGCTTGTGGTAGTTCAGGGAAAACAGAGAATGATAGCAATTCTCTTCAATAATATTTCTATTAAATTCCATGGTGGTCTTCTCTCAAAATTAGTAATGAAATACTGAAATGTCCATTGACTAGTGAGGGCAATGTTTGTAAGCCAGGAGAATGAAATAAATAATGGTTATGTTTCTTCTTGTCAGACCCAGAAGGGAGGTCTTTGAACAACAGTGCTTCAAATTAAGAATTCAGTCCCAGGAAAGGTCTGTCTGCCTCACAGACCGTGATGAACGAACACTGGGTGTAACATTTTATCTTCATCCCCAAGCTCCAGAAAATTAGAGCTACAGTCTTTCTGTCTTGGGTACCAGTTTAAGTCCTTATTAAGCAGCAAAAATTAATTCAAAATGTGATGCTGCCTTGGGAAGACGCATACAGGAAAATGAAAGGGGTAAGACTAATACAGCAGCTCATGTATTGGTTCCTAGGTCCTCTAGGAATCTTTCTTTTGGCTGGGCGCAGTGGCTCACGCCTGTAATCCCAGCACTTTGGGAGGCCAAAGTGGCTGGATCACTTGAGGTCAGTTCAACACCAGCCTGGTTAACACGGTGAAACCCCGTCTTCACTAACAATACAAAAATTAGCTGGCTGTGGTGGAGCACCCCTGTAGTCCCGGCTACTCAGGAGGCTGAGGCAGAAGAATTGCTTGAACCCAGGAGGCAGCGGTTGCCATAAGCCAAGATTGCATCACTGTACTCCAGCCGGGGCAACAGAGTGAGACTGTCTCAAAAAAAACCAAAAACAAAAACAAAAAAAACAAAAAACTTTCTTTCACCGAACCCTGGTCATCATGGTACGTATCTCATGGGTGCAAAGCAGTCATTATAATACTGATTTTCACTGTCTTCTCTAATCTGTAATGTCACGGTTTTCCCTACTCTTCTTCTTCCAACCATTTCTATCACAAAAAGATATTAACCCAGGAAGCTGCTAGGATAAAATGTCAGATGTTTAATGAAAGAAGTGACACCTAACCCAAGGCCAGGTGTGGTAGCTCATGCCTGTAATCCCAGAACTATGGGGGACCAAGGTGAGTGGATCACTTGAGGTCAGGAGTTTTGAGACCAGCCTGGCCAACATAGTAAAACCCCGTCTGTACTAAAAATACAAAAATTTGCTTGAACCTGGGAGGTGGAGGTTGCAGTGATCCAAGATCACACCATTGCATGCCAGCCTGGGCAACAGAGTGAGACTCCACCTTAAAAAAAAAAGAAAGAAACCTCACCCAAGTATTCCATGAGTTGTTGATGTTGTAAATACTGCAGAATTGAGATCAGTGGCCAATCCAGGGACTAATACTAGGAAAAGAGATGTACAGAGCTGTGCAGTAGAAAGAACTGGAATTTTAGTCTGCAATCTTGTTGCATTGATTATGAAGGATCATCGGATTGAGTGTCAATTCCAACTCTCAGTGCTAGAAACTTGTCAAGACAGTCTCATGGTAGATTCTGGTACCCTCAATGGTGTTAGCTCTCCAAGTATTTGAAGATGCTTTGCTTCAGTCCTGAAGTGCTATTACCATCTGTTTTGAGGCGCTTAGGAGAAGGAGAATTCACGAAAGATGGACCCCTTCTTTTTACCTAGAGAGCAGACAGGGAGTCAGGGCCAGCTTAAGACCTTCATACAAGTACTTACCTTCAACTAGCTCTCAAGCAATTTATAGTTAAATCGTGGATTATTTAAAACAGAAAAAAAGAAAGATAAACTTTCTAGGCAAGTTTCAAAGTTGATTACCTACTGGGGTAGCAATTCTCTTGTACTTTATTGGGGAATGCAAGATTTCAACACTGCAGCATAAAGCTGTTAAGTCAGAATTTTTGTTTTTAAATTTAAATCAATAAATTCTAGTTTGGGAATCCACCATATTAGTTCTCAAATTCCATACCTGAGACTTAGACAATTCCTTTGCCACCTCAGCCTTGACAGGAGAAAGTGTATGAAAGACAAAGTTTCTTGAATTTCGAGGAGCACTGGGGTTAAGATCAGAGAGAGCAGCCAGTTTCTGAAGCACAGCTTTGGGCTGGTTTAGCAGTGAGCCTGTCTTCACCTGAGGAAAGACGAGTCATCTAGTATCAAATCCCAAGTGCCAACTAAAGAATGAAAAGTTCTTCCCTCCCTACCTCCCCCCAGATATTGAGGATACATATTCCTACCCTATTCAAGTAGAAAAGAAATAGCGGACTCCTTTAACATTAACTTTTTGCCTGCAGCCACCTCCCTCCTCTAAATACAGAGACTATTCCCTAAACTGAATAACCCATAGACTAGATGTAAGATTAACTAGGTTCCCAACTAACCTGATGAGCACTTCCCAGTCTGATGGCTTCAAAAGGATTTCTGAGCAAAGACTTTGATTCTTGAATAACCACAGGGCGACTGGCTGGAAAGAAAAGACAGAGGCCTATTCTGGGAAAAGCTGATTAGAATTACTTTTAAATCTAAACAAACTAAGACATCTTGTAACTAAATCAATATGCTAAAGCCATGGGAACCCTGTTCTATATAATGGTGACTTTGAAACTACAAGAATTGTCTCCAAGAAGAGAGACAGCTAAGTTGAACAGTAATCATTTAAGAAAAACAGAAGTGGTAAGTGTGTGGAATAGTAAAGAGCTTCATTTCTGGAATTAAATATTCCTGGATTAAAATCCCACCTCTAACACTTAGGTATAAAATCCTGGGCAACTAAATAGAGAAAGACAGAATTAACTACTCTGAGCCTTAGAACATAAAGTAAAACCAGCTACATATACTCACAAGTACAGTCTCTACTGCCCAATAGTGTAAGAGCTAAATACACTGTCCCCCACTGTCTCTATGAAGCCTCTTTAAGACAGTATTAGACACAAGCTTATGATTAAGCTGCAACGGCTCCTGAAGGTTAGAGTCACCTCCAAAGCTCTAGCACTAACAATCCAGGGGGCCAGACCCTAAGGAGAAACAAGAGCTCACCATTCTTCTGCAGTGCTTTGGCTGTAACTTTCTTGGCCATTATCATAAACTGACTGTCCTCCCCAACTTCTTCTTCTTCTTCAGCTGTAATTTTCCCCTGCTGTGCCTGAAAATAAAAATTATACAGCATTAAAAAAAAGCCTATAGCCTTCCTAAATAGTTAGCATGGCCTGGATTGTGAAACTAGAGTTCCTGGGGGTATCATTTGTTTTTCTTTTTGCAAACTTTGCTGCTTTAAACAAAAAAATTAATCTTAGACAAACGTGAAGAGAATTGTCCATGGTAGCCTTCTCAAAATACAAAAGATAGCTTGGCCGGGCGCGGTGGCTCAAGCCTGTAATCCCAGCACTTTGGGAGGCCGAGGCGGGTGGATCACGAGGTTGAAAGATTGAGACCATCCTGGTCAACATGGTGAAACCCCGTCTCTACTAAAAATACAAAAAATTAGCTGGGCGTGGTGGCGCTTGCCTGTAATCCCAGCTACTCAGGAGGCTGAGGCAGGAGGATTGCCTGAACCCAGGAGGCGGAGGTTGCGGTGAGCCGAGATCGCGCCATTGCACTCCAGCCTGGGTAACAAGAGCAAAACTCCGTCTCAAAAAAAAAAATAGCTCAAGGATTAAAAGAGATAGCAATATGGTGCCTAAGATTTTGAAACTATTATGCCAAACTAAGATTTTTTTTTTTTTTTTTGAGATGGAGTCTTACTCTAGCCCAGGCTGGAGTGCAGTGGTGCAATCTCAGCTTACTGCAACCTCTGCCTCCCAGGTCCTGATTCAAGCAATTCTCCTGCCTCAGCCTCCCGAGCAGCTGGGATTACAGGCCCGTGCCACCACACCCAGCTAATTTTTTTATTTTTAGTAGAGATGGAGTTTTACCATGTTGGCTAGGCTGGTCTTGAACTCCTGACCTCATGATCTGCCCCACTTGACCTCCCAAAGTGCTGGGATTACAGGTGTGAGCCACTGCACCCAGCCAACAAGTTTTTGAAACTATCATGACAAGCTAAGTGACAGCCTCATAAACTAGGATCAGAGTAGGTGAATTCCTACCATGTCCCGAAGCCATTGCTCTCGTTCAATTCGCTCCTTCCTCCACCTGGCCTCTGACTCATCAAGCTGTTCTTCGGTCTGATCATCATCAGAGTCTCTATGGAACAAGTCCATCTGGGAAGCATCATCTAAACAAAGAGTGAAGGTAATCAGCATTCAGCAATCTTCACAGGAGAGGGTGCTTGGACGGACAAAAAATAAACCCTTATCGTTTACTACATAATGATGTCAGCTTTTCCCATCCACTAACAGAAAACAATAGCTACAACTAGGTCTTCCCATAGCCTGTTAGTTTTGCTTGCCATTTGCCATGTGAAACTGGACAAACGAGCAGACTGTAACTATTTGCTTTTAAAGGCAACAACTAAGATACCTATGTTTTTCCATCGAAACTTCCTCATTCGCCCAGGACCATCACTGTGCAGATCCCCATCAGCAAGGTACCTCTCTTGGTATAAACGTAGCTGTCGCTTATCATCATCCAACATAGTTTTCCTATAACAGGAGAAATAAGGTGTTCAAAACAAGGACCATTCTGGCTGGTTATAGGGCCTGTCTTATGATATACCCTGCTACTCAGAAGGGCTTGCTGGGATACTGACATGTGTATTTTCTTGATTTGACTCTGTAGTTCCTCATCAGAAGGAAGTACTTCATCAATTATGTCCTCTTCATATTCATCAATCTCTTCCCCGTCATACTCATCTTCACTTCCCACATCACTTCCTGACACCTCTGCTTCATCTTCCAGGTATTTCCTCAACCTCCTAGAAAGCAATTTTGAGAATTAGGAAATGTAACAATGAATATACTCACAGAATATGGAAGCAGAGAAAAGCAGAACAGAGTCTCTTCTAATAATAATAATAAACATACATTTTGATAATATTTAAATTTTTTTGGTAATAATCTCCTACTTGATGGTTTGACTTAATGATTTTTCAACTTTGCGATGGCATGAACGTGATTTGCACTTAGTACGTTTCTCAATTTATAATGAAGTTATATCTGGATAAGCCAAAAGTGCATTTTCAACTTATGACAGATTGATCAGGGTACAGCTCCATTGTAAGATGTGGAGCATCTATATTTAAAAGTTGATCACTTAATATGTCCTATGTGCTAATAACTGTGCTTTACAAGTATTAACATCTTATCTTAGGAACGGGTACTATTATTCTCTTCATTTTACAGTTGAGGAAACTGAGCCTCAGAAAGATTAAATTTATCCAAGGTCACATAGCTAGAAGGTAGCAGAGCCTGGATTCAACTTAGATTGGGTGACTTGAAAGCCAGAAAACTCTTAATTTCTTCTATATGCATTAGAATACCTGCTGGAAGGTTCAAACTATTTTGTTTTGCATTTGAACACACCAGCTTTAAGAGAGAAACTGGAGATGATGTGGTGTAGAAAGGTAACAAACTGGGATCTTCTTACAGTCTACCACATCTTGACCCCCATGTTAGAAGGAAGACTAAGGCTCAGAGCTCCTCGTTACTACTCAGTTACTTTTTCTGACTTCAGCTCCCCCTGGGGACAAATATGCTGTCACCCTGGGTTCTAAGTCTTCTTGGTCTCATGTGGTCCAAAATGGCAGAAGTTTGGTGGCTTTCTGAAAACTGATTTTTATCAAAGACCTATACTGTATTTTCTTTTCTTTTGAGATGAAGTCTCACTCTGTTGTCCAGGCTGGAGTGCGGTGGCACCATCTTGGCTCACTGCAACCTTCGCCTTCTGGGTTCAAGCAATTCTCATGCCTCAACCTCCTGAGTAGTTGGGATTATAGGTGTGTGCCACCATGCCTGGCTAAATTTTTTTTTTTTTTTTTTTTTGAGACAGAGTTTCACTCTTGTTGCCCAGGCTGGAGTACAATGATGCAATCTCAGCTCACCGCAATATCCACCTCCTGGATTCAAGCGATTCTTCTACCTCAGCCTCCTGAGTAGCTAGGATTAGCATGCCCCACCATGCCTGGCTAATTTTGTATTTTTAGAAGACACGGGGTTTCTCCATGTTGGTCAGGCTGGTCTTGAACTCCTGACCTCAGGTGACCTGCTCACCTCGGCCTCCAAAGTGTTGGGATTACAGGCATGAGCCCCTGTGCCTGGCCTTGTTTTTTGTTTTTGTATTTTTTTTTAAAGTAGAGACAGGATTTCACCATGTTGGCCAGGGTGGTCTTGGTCTCCTGACCTCAGGTGATCCATCTGCCTCAGCCTCCCAAAGTGCTGAGATTATAGGCGTGAGCCACCATGCCCGGTCTATACTGTATTTTGTTAAAACTAAGTTCTTCTAAATCTTAGGGTTCCTGGAAAATTCCTTCAGGGGCCACTAGTCACTAGGTTTCCAAAACTTCCCATTTACCGTCTTTGAACAGTGCAACTTTTATCTGTCATTCTTTATAAGATTTTATTTGAACAAAGAGCTCTGCAGTTAGGAACTACTACCTTAGAAAAATCTATGGATGACCTAAAGCTGAATGAGACTTAATCTGACAGGTGACAAATGAAAACCCAAAATGAATCTTAATAGAATGAAATAATGGGATAAAAACAACCATAGAAATCTAACAGGGATCAACATGATATCCTATATGTGAATTCCAAGTCATTCATATACAATATAACATTAAATACCTATTAGAATTGTCTTTATAAAACTTTTTTTTTAACATCATAGGAAAATGTTTCTGGATATGCTAAGTAGGGAAAAAAGCAAGATGCAAAATTATACATATAAAAAGACTGTATAAATCTCAACTATATAAAAATATATGCATAAAAAGATTAAGAGGAACTAACTTTTTTTTTTTTTTTTTTTTGAGACAGAGTCTCACTCTGCCGCCAGGCTAGAGTGCAGCGGTGTGCCATCTCGGCACACTGCAATCTCCACCTCCTTGGTTGAAGCGATTCTCCTGCCTCAGCCTCTTGAGTAGTGAGACTATAGGCGCGCACCATTACACCCAGCTAAGTTTTATATTTTTTAGTAGAGACGGGGTTTCACCATATTGGCCAGGATGGTCTCGATCTCTTGATCTGGTGATCCGCCTGCCTTGGCTTTCTAAAGTGCTGGGATTAGAGGCGTGAGGCACCTGGCCCAGCACTAACTTACACTGATATCCTGGATGGTGGATACGGATAACTTTTTATTCATATATTTCTGTATTCTTTTCTTTTGGGTGGGGGGATGGAGTTTTTCTCTTGTCACCAAGACTAGAATGCAATGACCTAATCTCAACTCACTGCAACCTCCACCTCCCACTTTCAAGCGATTCTCCAGCCATGCCTCATAAATAGCTGGAATTTTACAGGTGCCCACCACCACACCCAGCTAATTTTGTATTTTCAGTAGAGACAGGGTCTTGCCATGTTGGCCAGGCTGGTATTAAACTCCTGACCTCAGGTGATCCACCCGCCTCAGCCTCCCAAAGTGCTGAGATTATAGGTGTGAGCCACCATGGCCAGCTTGTATTCTTTTAAACATCCTAAAATAAATATTTCACTTTCATGACCAGAACAACAAATCATGAAAAAAATAAGCTGTGCCTGGTGGCTCATGCCTGTAATCCCAGACTTTGGGAAGCCGAGGCAGGAGGATCACTTGAGGCCAGGAGTTTAAGACCATCCTGGGAACAAACCAAGGCCCCGTCTCTACGAAAAATAAAAAGAATTAGCTACGTGTGGTGGCACATGCCTGTAGTCCTAGCTACTTGGGAAGCTGAGGTAGGAAGATTTAAGTTAAAAGGTTGCAAACTACAACTCAACTCTTAGGGGAAATTTCACCTAATCTAAGTTGAATCCAGGCTCTGCTACCTTCCAGCTATGTGACCTTGGGTAAATTTAATCATTCTAAGGCTCGGTACCTTCAACTATAAAATGAAGGGAATAACAGTACCCATTCATAAGATAATTTTTTTTTTTTAAGATAGAGTATTGATCTGTCACCCAGGCTGGAGTGCAATAAGGCTCACTGCAACCTCCACCTCCCAAGTAGCTGGCACTAAGGCGCCCGCCACCACGCCCGGCTAATTTTTGTTTTTAGTAGAGACAGGGTTTCACCATGTTGGTCACGCTGATCTCAAACTCCTGACCTCGAGTGATATGCCCTCCTTGGCCTCTCAAAGTGTTGGGATTACAGGTGTGAGCCACTGCACCTGGGCTAAGATAATATGTTAATGCCTGTAAAGCACAGTTATTAGCACATAGTACATATTAAGTGATCAACTTTTTTTTTTTTTTTTTTTTTTTTGAGAGAGTCTTGCTTTGTTGCCCAGGCTGGAGTGCAATGGTATAATCTCGGCTCATTGCAACCTCTGCCTCCCAGGTTCAAGCGATTCTCCCTGCCTTAGCCTCCCAAGTAGCTGGGACTACAGGTGCCCACCATCATGCCCAGCTAATTTTTATATTTTTACTAGAGATGGGGTTTCACCATGCTGGCCAGGCTGGTCTTAACCTCCTAACCTCAGGCGATTCACTCATCTCAGCTTCCCAAAATGCTGGGATTACTGGTATAAGCCACCATGCCCAGCCAGAATTTCCATTTTAAGGTTGAATACTCCATTGCATGTATACACCTCATTTTGTTTACCTATTCAAAGTGCTGGGATCATAGGCTCGAGCCAGCACGGCCAGCCTAGTGATTAACTTTTAAATACAGCTTGAGGAATGGACATAGTAATGGCACCTACATTTGCCTTTTCAACTTCTCAGATCGCTTCAGGAGTTCTTCTTCATCATCATCTTCATGGTCTTCTAGTGCCAGATCTTCATTACCAGAGTCACTGTGTTCATCCTACAAAATCAGCATCACTTCCAAATTATGCAGAATAAAATGTGTCCTCAACAAAAACAGGATTTATAAACATCTGCCCAAACACCAAAAATTCTAGAAAATTGTTTCTGATAAGATGCTAAACTTAGAATTCTTAAGAACTGAGGGAAAAAGACACCCAAGGGCAGCAATACATGAAGCTCAGTTATGATTACTTTGTTCCCTTCAAACTTACCTCATCACTATCAAACTCATTATCATTTGAAACAAGCCGAAAGTCTCCAAATTCCTCCTCCTCATCTTCTTCTTCCCTAAAATGCAAATCAATGAATCAATAAATAAGTTGTTAAAAGCAAACTACAAGTAGTCAGACAAGTTAGGAATTAAAAAAAAATTGTGTGTGATTTTTTTTTTTCTGAGACACTCTTGGTCTGTTACACCAGCTGGAGTACAGTGGCACCATCTCAGCTCACTGCAACCTCCACCTCCAGGGTTCAAGTGATCCTCCCACATCAGCCTCCTGAGTAGCTGGGACTAGAGGTCCAAGCCACCATGTTCAGCTAATTTTTGTAGAGACAGATTTCACCATGTTGCCCAGGTGCATCTTGAATTCCTGGGCTCAAGCAATCCGCTTGCCTTGGTCTCCCAAAGTACTGGGATTACAGGTATGAGCCACCTTGCCCAGCAAAATTTAAAACTTTTACTAGCACCAGTGATCTCTTCAAACAAACAGGGAAAAAAAATTTTTTAATTTTCAGCTGTGGTAAAATATACAGTATATAGTTCAGTAGTGTTAAGTACATTCGCATTGTTAAGCAATCTCCAGAACTCTTTTCAGCTTGCAAAACTAAAACTCTATACCCATTAAACTCTCCATTTCCCCATAGCCTCAGTCCCTGGCAATCACCATTCTACTTTCTGTCTCTATGCATCTAAGTAAGTATCTCATGTAAGTGAACTCATACAGTATTTGTCTTTTAGTGACTGGCTTATTTCTCTTAGCAAACATCCTAAGGTTCATCCGTGTTGTAGTAAGTGTCAGAATTTCCGGTTTTTTTTTTCTTTTTTTTTGAGACAGAGTTTCGCTCTTGTTACCCAGGCTGGAGTGCAATGGCGCGATCTCGGCTCGGCGCGATCTCGGCTCACCGCAACCTCCATCTCCTGGGTTCAGGCAATTCTCCTGCCTCAGCCTCCTGAGTAGCTGGGATTACAGGCACGCGTCACCATGCCCAGCTAATTTTTTGTATATTTAGTAGAGACGAGGTTTCACCATGTTGACCAGGATGGTCTTGATCTCTTGACCTCGTGATCCACCCGCCTCGGCCTCCCAAAGTGCTGGGATTACAGGCGTGAGCCACCGCACCTGGCAGAATTTCCTTTTTTTTGAGACAGGATCTTGCTCTGTTGCCCAGAGTGAAGTGGCACAATCATGGCTCACTGCAGCATTGACCTCCCAGGTTCTCACCTCAGACCCCTGAATGTCCAACTAATTTTAGTATTTTTTGTAGGGATGGAGTTTTGCCATATTGTCCAGGCTGGTCTCAACTACTAGGCTCAAGTGATGCACCCACCTTAGCCTCCCAAAGTGCTGGGATTACAGGTGTGAACCACCATGCCCAGCCAAAATTTCCATTTTAAGGTTGAATATTCCATTGCATGTATATACCACATTTTGTTTACCTATTCATCTGTCAACAGACATAGGTTGCTTCCATGTTTTGACTACTTACTGTGAATAATGCTGCTTTGAACATAGGATACAAATATCTGTTCAAGTCCCACTTTTACTTTTTTGGGGCATAGACTAAGAAGTGAAATTGCTGAATCATGTGGTCATTCTTTTTTTTTTTCTTTTTAGACTGAGTTTTGCTCTTGTTTCCCAGGTTGGAGTGTAATGGCACAATCTCAGCTCACTGCAACCTCTGCCTCCCAGGTTCAAGCAATTCTCCTACCTCAGCCTCCAAGTAGCTGGGATTACAGGTATGTACTACCATGCCCAGCTAATTTTTTGTAGTTAGTAGAAACAGGGTTTTACCATGTTGGTCAGGCTGATCTCAAACTCCTGACCTTGAGTGATCCACCTGCCTCGGCCTGCCAAAGTGCTGGGATTATAGGTGTGAGCCACCGCAGCTTGTCTCTATTTTTAATTTTTGAGGAGCCTTCATACTACTTTCCCTAGCCGCTGCACTATTTTACCTTCTCACCAATAATACATAAGGTTTCCAATTTCTCCACATTCTTACTAACACTTTTTGGGTTTTTTTTTTTTTTTTATATAAAAGTCATCTTAATGGGTGCATCACTGTGGTTTTGATTGGCATTTTTCTAATTATTAATGACGTTAAATATCTTTCATATTCTTGCCTTTTTTACCCTGTTCCCCATGAAAGCATTATAATTTGCTTACTAGGCATATATGAAACTCAAATCCACTGTAAAATTCTCAGAAAAGGTACAAAGCCCTTAAGATGATCAGTTATTGCTAACTCCAGAGAACCTGACCTCAAGATTTTATCAAAAGGCCAGGCCTTCCCAAGTTCCCAGCAATCTGAGACTTACCTGTCTGTTGGAAAAGAGCCTGAGCAAAGAGCAAGTGCTTCTTCCATTGGATCACCCATGCTGCTCTCCTTCTCCTGTTTATTTAATTCTGATGAGCCCGGAGTGGAGGCATCTACAACACAACAAGGATAAGATGTGTCACCAAGGAATGACAGCTTTATACTCTTTTCCCAACCATCTAAAGTCATGCCAGCTCGATACAGTTCTAAGGTAAGCTTGCCAAGAAAAGCCTACCGTCTATTCATTCAAAAAATCCTAATTTAGTGCTTACTATTTGCCATATGTGCCAAGCCACCAAGGATACAGTAATGAACAACCAACTATCCCAGGTCTCATACAGCTTATGTTCTGTCTACCAGGTGTGTGCATTGAGGGCAGGAGACAGGAAATAAATTAACGTTTATATGAAATTTATTATATATCAGACACTGTTCTAAACTTTTAACATATGTTAATCATAAATCACATATCATATGGGCAAAGCTAAAACTGTCTTAAGTTGATACTTTACCACTCTAAGAAAGTAAGAGTTCTAAATGTCAGGGCACTAAGCAGTGAATTCAATTTATATACAAGACTCCATTACAGCCCTGTTTTCTGTGAACTTTTCATCTGAGGGCAAGGGACTTCTTTTCTTTTTCTTTTTAGGCAGGGTCTCTGTCACCCAGGCTGGAGTGCAGTGCTGTGATCCTGGCTCACTGCAACTTCCACCTTCTGGGTTCGAGAGATCCTCCCACCTCAGCCTCCCAAGTAGCTGGGACCACAGGAACGTGCTGCCATGCCGAGCTAGTTTTTTTTGTTTTTTTAAATAGAGATGTGGATTTGCCATGTTGCCCAGGCTGGTCTCAAACTTCTGAGCTCAAGCGATCCACCCAACTTGGCCTCCCAAAGTTCTAGGATTACAGGTGTGAGCCACAGCACCTGGCTAGGGAATTCTTTTCAAGGACATGGATACCTGGGTGTGGTAAGCCTGATGCTCTCTGTTGGATATTTACCCTGAAAAGTGAATTTTCCTGAACAAAGGTTCAGAAGTTCCTCCATGTTCTCTTTCTTGTCACTCTTCCTGTGTAGCTGTTTTTCAGCCTGAGATGTAAACTTTCCAGTACACAAATCCAACAGCTCATCCATGTTGGCATCCATGGCATTCTCATCCATACTGGCCAATGGCAATCGAGGCTTCAAAGCTTGGTACTGATCCCTGTGGTTTCTAACATTTAAGAATCTACGAGCCAATGAGCACAATGAATAGTATAAATATTCCCAGAGAAATGGCAAAGTAGGGGATGAAAAACCACTAAACTCATTTCCAATACCAGTTAAAAGCTGAATCTCAAACCAGAAAGCAAAAGATTCAATCTTTAGGCTTGTGTTAATCTAAAGAGGGAGGGAAAAGTTTTGTGAAAGAATAAAATGTTACTCAAAAGGTAAAGTGTAAAGAATAACTTTTAGCTTTAGAGGATGCTAGAGCAGGGCTTGGCATCATATCCTGTCATGTGTCACCAGTCTGTGAATTCTCAATCATACCCAACAATAGCATAGCAGGATGGATACAGGGAAATTTGATGACCTTACAATACAAGGTCTATGCATTTCAAATAAGACAGAAACTGAAAGACCAAAATGTCAGCAAGAGCTATTTATGTTTTATTCTCTGGACAGACTTTGCTCAAACTTATAGAATGTAATACTAATGGTCTGTACACCTTCTCTTTCTCAGAAGAGAAAGCACAGATGGAGTGACAGAAGCTCACTTATTTTTAAACAAAATTAAGCGGTACCCAGCACCATTCCCACCCACAGAAACACAAAACTACCTACCCATCTGCATCCAACAGTTGGCTCTGAGTGTCATCTTCTAAACAGAACTGGAAGTCTCCTGCTCCTAGGAAAAGTGTCTTAGGTTCTGGGGAGGCGTTATACAGATCCTGGGAATCCTCTATGGGAAGTGAAGGCTCAGACAGTTTCCCTGAACTCTGGTACCCAAACAAAAACAAACAATAACAAAACATTTTACAAATGTCATTCATTGTCATGACAACAACAGAAGTTGCTATTTGCAAAATTCAATTTACTCTCCAGCAATTGCAGTTGAGGAGGACAATACACAGCCATGAGAAGCATAAAGAAAAATACCTCCAAGAAAGTCAGAATACTGGATGAAGCTTGTTTTTAATACACAAAGGGGGTGGATTTTTTAAACTGAACACACATAAGCTCAGTACCAATCCGGTGGGAGTTGGTTGGCTGGGACACACTTTATTTAGCAATGTGGGAAGCAAAGAGAGGAGGAGATTAGAAAAACCATTACCATCTTACCTTAGAAGCTGAGCTGACCAAACTGGCTCGAAATAGCCCAGGGGAAGGAGATCTGAATCCCCCTGCTGTAGGTAAAAAACTGGTCCCACGGCCTGTTTGTCTGTTGCAAGGCTGATAGGATGGAATCGTGGAGCCAATCAGCTCAAAGCTGCTATTGTGGCTGCTCTCCTTTGTTAGCAATGAACATGAATCATCCTCATCTAAAGAAAGAGAAACACCTTTTAAGTGCATGATTACAGAAATAAGGTGGATTTGTTTAGGAAAAAGAGTTGAGGATGAAACTGTCAGATAAAATTCATAGGCAAACCCCTCGAGTTATATGTTCCAAAACATTAAGTTAAAGGTAAATTACAGTACTAAGATAGCATTATGTAATCAGGGCTTATTACTCTGAGCAGTGACATTTGAAAGTTCTCTTTTTTTTTTTTTTTTTTTTTTTTTTTGGAGACAGTCTTGCTCTGTCTTTCAGGCTGGAGTGCAGTAGTGCTCACTGAAACCTCCGCCTCCTGGGTTCAAGCGATTCTCCTGCCTCAGCCTCCCGAGTAGCTGGTACAATGGGCGCATGCCACCATGCCTGGCTAATTTTTAGTACTTTTGGTACAGACAGGGTTTCACCATCTTAGACAGGATGGTCTCAATTTCCTGACCTTGTAATCCAGCTTGGCCTCAGCCTCCCAAAGTGCTGGCATTACAGATGTGATCCATGGCACCCGGCCAAAAGTTCTCTTCTTTCTCTTATCCTGCCTAATGCCTATAATCACACTCATCATTATCCAATTATACGTCTTCCTTTGATCTACATACAGAAATATTTCATTGCTCACTCAATCAACACATATTCACTAAGGACATTATGTGCCATGGCCTACTATAAATAAACCGCAAGTTTTCAAAAAATAGACCAAGAAAAATATTCTAATTCATAAACCCCTTTAATTGCCACATGAGACTGGGAAGTGACCAGAACAAAAAAAAAAAAAAAAAAAAAAAAAGGAAACTTATGGTACTGCAGTCCCTAAATATCAAAGCTGAGGGACGAAAGAAATGTCAAGTTCTGCACAAGAATCACTACTTACTTACCCAGTTTGCTAGGCCGTTTGCCTGAGTTTTCATCTGTTTCTGATTTTTCTTCAGTAGGGAAGTAACTGCAAAATAAAAAGGTAAATGGGTTCAGTATCTTTTCTTACTTTTTACAGGAGGGACAAATCCAAGGCAATTTAATATATTTTTTTAGAGAGAATCACTCACCCCATCTTGGAAGAGCTGTCCTTAAATAGAAGTAAAGTAGAATCTGATGAGAGAGACTTGGAAACAGAGAGGAAGCCAACTGACTTGCCAACTTCACTACTGCCATCATTATTTTCTTTATCCATTTCTTTTTCATCTTTGGTTTCTATTTCTTCACTACTAAGAAGGAACTCTGCAATCTTTACCAATCATGCCACCACAAAACAAAATAATACAAGTCAAAAAATTTAAAAGCAAATAAACTGTTAGCATGAAATATGGCTGCTTGGTTACAGGTCCCATCTTAAATTCAAAAAGGTCAACTTGAAGGAAGTTCCATATGACCATTATCAACATCATTTTCCCTAATACTTCTAGAACTTTTTTGTATTGCTTTTTAACTTTTACCCTCCAGAAATCGCTAAGATTATGAAGGACAACTGCATTATTATTTTATTGAGGCAGTAAGAGGTTAAACAGTCAGTTTGCAGGCTAACTACTGATCACAAACAAAGCACAGACTGGGACAGGCTGTACAGTTCAGCCATTGCTTTCTTTCTCCTTTACCCCAAATTAAATATTAAGTCAAGTTGCTGGCGTGGTAGCTCAGCACTCTGGGAGGTCGCAACAATGGGAGGAATGCTTGAGGCCAGGAGTTCAAGACCAGCCTGGTCAACATAGCGAGACCCTCTTCTCTTAAAAAAATAAATAAATAAACATAAATTTTTTAAAAATTAACTCAAGTGATCCCAGCATACAAAAAGGAAAGCCTTTTCCCCCCTCTTTTTTTGAGATGAGTCTCACTCTGTCACTCAGGCTAGAATGCAGTGGCACAATCTCGGCTCACTATAACCTTCACTGCCCAAGTTCAAGCAATTCTCCTGCCTCAGTCTCCCACGTAGCTGGTACTACAGGTGTGTGTCACCACATCCAGTTAATTTTTGTATTTTTAGTAGAAATGGGGCTTCACCATGTTGGCCAGGTTGTTCTCAAACTCCTGACCTCAGATGATCTGCCTACCTCAGCCTCCCAAAGTGCTGGGATCACAGGCATGAGTCACTGCACAAGGCCCAAAAAGGAAAGTTTTTTAATACTTAACAATCCTTATCATCACCTGTCTTCCCTAGGCAGAAAACAATACTATGGAATAAGGGCAAGAGGCTCTTCTACAAATGCCTTCTTCAACAAAGAATGAAAATAACTCAGAAAGGCCTCTGCCTCCTTGAGAATTTACTCTAGACCTCAATCTGGCCAAGGTTAAGACTGCTTTTTAATCTGATAGAGAAACCTAAATAAACAACAAAGATAAAATTTCCTGCTAATACAAAGCCACTTTTAATATTAGCATCATTATATTAAAACATATAAACAAACAGGTGGAAGCCAAGCTAATGGTATTCTGTCAGTACCATTGAATACCTGTATTGATATATAATAATGATATTCAATGGTACTGAACATCTAAAGATATTCAATGGTACTGACAGAACTGAATGTACTAAGATTTAGGCATGTATGAGGTAGTTACCCTTGCCATGCCCCAAAACCTCTCATACAATTAAACATGCTTATGATACTCTTATTCAAATCTGACTTTTTCTCTCATATTCACCACGACCAAGTAACAAAACAACATAATTGCCAGAAACCTCCTGATTTCCTTCTTCTTCCTCCACTTTCTCCTCCTCTTCCTCTAGTTCTTCCTCTTCTTCCTCTACCTCCTCTTCTCCATCTTCTTCAGACTCATCTGTCATTTCTTCCTCTTCCTCCGCTTCTTCCTCAAACCCATCTTCATTATCTAATTTAAATAGTGCTTGGCGCTTCTGGCGTTCCTCAAACCTTCGGAGTTTCATTGCCTCTTGCAGTTTAGCTTTTAGCACCTGAAGCTTTTCACCTGAACAGAAATATGTAGAAATGCTCTAGTCATAATACAACTAAAATTAAGTATGCATTTTAGGCACCTCCAGAAGTATTCTAGTCACATCCCAAAAGGAAAATCTGAGACCTTAGTATTCTGGGCTTTTTTGCTATTTGAACACATGAGGATTATGAATTGAAGTATCAAAGAGAACTTCTGCTCCCTGGGATAGTATACTACTCAGGGATTATAAAATCGTCGTTCAAAATATATGGAATAAGGGGGTTAGGGAGTGGAGCTTCAAAAGTCTGTGGTTCAAAAGCCATGAAGAAAAACACTGATAAATTTACCTATGTTAAAGAAAAAGAGAAACAACTCAAGAGTAAAATGGGTAAATGATATGAACTGGCAGTGCACAGAAAAATAAACATATATTATTGATAAACAAATTAAAAGTAATGCTTAACCTCACCGCTAGTTAAAGAGCTACAAATCAAAAAAATGAGATATCATTTTCAACATGTTCGGCAAAAATTAGGTTTGATAATACCTATTATTAACAAGAGGAAACAGGAACTCATACACTGTGATTCAGAGTGGTAGAACCACATTCTGAAAGACAACTGGATGACATATATCAGAATGTGATATATATATAACAACAATTCTACTATAAGGAATTTTGCAACTAATATACCAACGTGTATCTGGTACTATCATGTAACACTGGTATGCAATAGCAAAAACTGGAACAAACAAGACATCCATCAATAGGAGTATGGTTTAATGAGTCATGCTGTATTCAGTCAATGGAATATTATGTGGTCATTTAAAAAAAGCCTCAAAAACAACATAAGGTGGATCTGAGCTCTGGAGTTAGGTGGTCTGGATTAGACCACTGGTCCTACCATTTATTAGCTGTGTAAACTTGAGCAAATGGCTTAAGTGCTCTGCATATCAGTTTCTTCATATACAAAATAAAGATACTAATGTTATTTACCTCATAGCGTTGTAAGGATTAAATGAGATAAAACATATAAAGCACCTAGAGCAATGCCTGACAGGAAGTAAATGTTCAATGGTACACACATTCACAAAAAATGGTACATGGATAAAATACTCCTATAAGGACACACAAGAAATTGTTAATAGTTATCTTTGGGAAGACTAATTTTTCATTTAATATCTTTTTTTTCAGTGTTTAAAATTGTTTTTCATGTGATACATTACTCATGATTTCAAGGTGGGGGTGAGAGCTGTCCTTAATACAGTTTTAAAACAAAAAGCAGATTACAAAGAAGAATGCATGTTATGATCACATTATTAGGTGGGTTGTTTTGTTTTGGGTTTTTTGAGACAGGGTCTCTCTCTGTCACCTAGGCTGAAGTGCAGTGCCACAATCATGATTCATTGCAACCTCAACCTCCTGGCTCAAGTTATCCTCCCGTCTCAGCCTCCCAAGTATCTGGGGCCACATGTGCATGCCACCATGCCTAGATAATTTTTTTTTTTTTTTTTTTTGGTAGAGATGAGGGCTCACTGTGTTGCCCAGGTTGGTCTCCAACTCCTGAGCTCAAGTGATCCTCCTGCTTTGGCCTTCCAAAGTTCTAGGACTATAGGTGTGAGCCACTGCACCTGGCCCTGTTTTTCTTTAAATACATATACATATGTGAAAAGAAGAGAGTTTAAATGATACATAATATGGTTATAGAACCTGTCTCTGATAGATTAAGTTTTTTGTTTATTCTATATATTTTTCTATAATATTTATTATTTTTTATAAGACAAATGATATTTTAAAAAATAAAGCCAGCTTGTCCACTCCACACCTCTATATGTGCTACACGTGAATCATGCCAGAGATACTCCTGTCCAAAGTCTCGAAGGAAAAATATACTACAACTTTTTATTATAAGGTTTTCAATAGCCATGAAGATCTGCTAGAATACAAAGCAAAAACCAAAAAACAAAACCTGTGGGCTCAAATACCTGGTTTTGTGTGGCTTGCTCCTTCCAACTTCTTAGGTGCCAAAGTCACAGATACCACATCTGCTTTTAGCTCTTCCTTTCCATCAGTGCCCACGTCTTTCACTATGACGTTCACATTCACTGTATGACCAGCCCTGGGTTTGGCTGCTGGATTAGCATGCTTCCAGAAACGCTGCTTCAAGGCTTCCAGTTCTAAAGCCAAATACCAACCGGTGTGTCAGTTTGCCATGCTCAGAACTCTTTCCTTTAAGACTTATTAGCTAAGTTTTTTTTTAGCTGAACAATGATGAGGAAAACCACAAACAAAAAGAAATAAAAAAATCCCTTGCTACTAACTCCTGAGTCAAATTCATACGTCTTAACCCAAACTAATGGACTGTTTCAACAATTCTTCCTCAATGTTTCAAAAATCACTTTTAAGACAGAAATTTATACCTGAAATTTCCAAATATGTGCAATTCTCTTGAACATTCTTTACAAATTCTTTAAAAGTATTAAACTGGTAGGAAAAAAATGTTACAAATCTCAACTATTCAAGGGCTTAATTTTGCATGGGTTTTAGTCTCCTTTTTAAAATTCCCTATTTGTTGTTGTTTGTGTTTTGAGACGGAGTCTCATTCTGTGGCCCAGACTGGAGTGCAGTGATGCGATCTCAGCTCACTGCAACCTCCATCTCCCAGGTTCAAGTGATTCTCCTGCCTCAGCCTCCTGAGTAGCTGAGATTACAGGAGAGCGCCACTATGCCCAGCTAATTTTTTTCTATTTTTAGTAGCGACGGGGTTTCACCATGTTGCCCAGGCTGGTCTTGAACTCCTGACCTCAGGTGATCTGTCCACCTCAGCCTCCCAAAGTACAGGTGTGAGCCACCACACCCAGCCAAGTTTTGTATTTCTTTAGAGGCAGGTTTTTGCCGTGTTGCCCAGGCTGGTCTTGAACTCCTAGACTTAAGTGATCCACCCTCCTCAGCCTCCCAAAGTGCTAGGGTTACAGGTATGAGCCACCATACCCAGCCACTTTTCATTTTTCTTTTTAGAGACAGGGTCTTGCTCTATTGCTCAGGCTGGAGTGCAATGGTACAGTCACAGCTCACTGCAACCTTGACCTCCTGGGTTTAAGCATTCCTTCTACCTCAGCCTCCCAAGCAGCTAGGACTACAGGTGCATATCACCACACCTGGCTTTTTAATTTTTTTGTAGAGACAAGAACTCGCTATGTTGCCCTAGCTAGTCTCAAACGCCTGGCCTCAAAGCAATCTTCCCACCTCAGTTTCCCAAAGTGCTGGGACTATAAGCATGAAATTTTGGTTAATTTTTTAAAATGCACTCAAATCATACTTCAGTATTTTTGTGACTAGAATCTAGATTTTTTTCCCCCTAGAATGTCTTACTAGAAAAATAGAAAAATGAAGGAAATCTTTTTATCCTGAGGTCCCCAACATTATCAGCAGCAAAAACCCAACTCTAAAGGATGGTATGTTTACATGGCAAACAAAAGAGTAAAGAGACAAGCTGTTAAGTCTGCCTATTTTGCAGTGGTTTAGTAAAGTTGAAAGCAACAGGTGGTGGCAGGGAAAAGGGAAACAGAAATAGGCAGATTATTATGGGTAATAATAGAGTAAACGAAATGGTTGGGTGGGAAGATTACCTGGGACTTAAAATAGCAGTGAGGCAAGAGGTACCTTCATTTCATAACTGGAGAAAGCTAGGATCCTCAAAGCTCTTCCTCCCCCAGCCCATTGGATCAACCACTTTCTTTGGCCTTTATTACATGACACAACCATCACTGTCTTCATCCTAAAATTCCTGTTCAAGTTCCTCTCCCTCCATTAGTCTCCATTAGTCCATCACCTCTCATCTCCTTTCTTAAGTGAAAAGTCTCTGCCCTAGTTTGTCTCTACCAGCAGCATGAGAACTGCTCATTCACATTGCTCTTGTCCAGAAAGCAGAGGAATTAGAGGTAGAAATTATTCCATATGCTATTGCAAGCAACAGAAGTTATGTATTTCTGACATCACAAAATTTAAATTTATATGCATTTTCTCATGGAAACCTTATTCTACATGAGGTAAGGAAACTGAGCTGTTCCCACTGTTTTTAACCCCTTCCAATGCATCCAGCACACCAGCTACCAGATTTAACCTCCTAAAATGAGTATCTGACTGAACATTTCCTTTGCTGAAAACCTTTCAATGGTCCTCTACTTACAAAGAGCTAAAGTCCAAGCTCCTAGCACGGCATAAAAATCCTGAATGATCTGGGCTTTGATGACCAATGTCCTTGCTATCTTCACTTCAGTCAGCCAGAACACCCTGTGCTTTCTATTGTCTCTCACATTCACAGGTCCAACTCCTCCACCAAAAAACCCCTCCCTCACCCCCCTGCCTTAGTATCTCTACTGAGCTCCTTTCAGAAACTTCCCTGATTTCTAGGCTCCAAGTAAGGTACCCTTCCTCTTGCTTCCCAATGCACCCTCATCTACATACGTTGATCATAGCACTGACCATCCAGTACTGTAATGGTCTGTTTGCCTGCCTGTCACACCTATTACACTTTAATTTCTTTGAGAGCAGGGAGTGTTTTACCTGTATACACAGCACCCAACACAGTGCTAAATAAAAGTTTATTGCATGAATGAATGAATATTGATTCTGACTTCATGTATATTATGGCTGGTCTGAAAACTCAAATTTCATGTCAATTCTTTCTCTCTCTCTCTCTTTCTCTCTCTCTTTGAGACGGAGTCTTGCTCTGTCACCCAGGCTGGAGTGTAGCAGTGGTGTGATCTAGGCTCACTGCAATCTCTGCTGCCGAGGTTCAAGCGATTCTTCTGCCTCAGCCTCCCAAATAGCTGGGACTGCAAGTGTGCATCACCATGCCTGACTAATTTTTTTTTTTGAGATGGAGTCTTGCTCTGTAGCCCAGGCTGGAGAACAGTGGCGCAATCTTGGCTCACTGCAACCTCTGCCTCTCGGGTCCCGGTTCAAGCAATTTTCTTGCCTCAGCCTCCAGAGTAGCTGGGATTATAGGCACACACCACCATGCCCAGTTAATTTTTGTATTTTTAGTAGAGATGGGGTTTCACTATGTTGGCCAGGTTGGTCTTGAACTCCTGACCTTGTAATCTGCCCACCTCAGCCTCCCAAAGTGCTGGAATTACAGGCGTGAGCCACCGCACATGGCCCATGTCAACTATTGCCAAAGGAAAATATGTTCCAAGTTAAAAAAGTAAGTGCTTAACATGTGCCAGACACTGTGCTAGGTCCCTTTATAAGCCAAATATAATGTTGGAAAAATTACCAAACCTCTCTGAGCCTCAGTCTCTTCATTTTGCAAAACAATACCTGGGGCTATAAGAATTAAGAAAGACAACGAATAACTAATAAAGAATGTACCAGTGTCTAATATAGTTGGTACTCAAAAAAGGTTTCTCCCTTTCCTTTCAGTCTAGGACTGTTTAGGTAACTTTTAGTCCCATATAACAAAATCTCTCCCTCAGTGTTCCAGACAACAGCTTACTCTCATGCTTCTTTGCTAATGAAGCTATGCTAGTTCTGCTAACTCTGCCAACACAACTTCCAGCCCTGGTCAAACTGACTTTCACATCTTCCCATTACACACCATGCAGATCTCTTTCTTTCTCTCCATTTCCAAAGTCAACCCATTCAATTAACAGACTTACTGAGCATATTTTACATACCAGATATAGTGACTGACATAGCACCTGCCAATAAACTGTTTAATTAAAGAGAAGCTCGTGTGTGTATGTTTTTTTCTCTGAGACAAGGTGTTCTTTCTATCCTCTCCAACTCCAAAGTCAATCCATTCAATTAACAGATTCACTGAGCATATTTTACATACCAGATATAGTGGCTGACATAGCACCTGACAACAATAAACTGTTTAATGAAAGAGAATATATATATATGTATATTCATGGGCTTAAGTGATCCACCCACCTCAGCCTCCCAAAGTGCTGGGATTACAGGCATAAACCACTGACTGCACCTGGTTTAATGAAAGAGTCTTGGCCAGGTGAGGTGGCTCACGCCTGTAATCCCAACACTTTGGGAGGCCAAAGCAGACAGATCAGGAGTTCGAGACCAGCCTGGTCAACACGGTAAAACCCTGCCTCTAGTAAAAATACAAAAATTAGCTGGGTGTAGTGGCGGGGGCCTGTAATCCAAGCTACTTAAGAGGCTCAGGCAGGAGAATTGCTTGAACCCAGGAGGTGGAGGTTGCAGTGAGCTGAGATCGCAGCATTGCACTCCAGCCTGGGTGACAAGAGTGAGTAAAACTCCATCTCAAAAGAAAAAAAAAAAGTCTTGATGTGAACCATTTCACTAATAATAGTAGAAGCGGCCGGGCACGGTGGCTCAAGCTTGTAATCCCAGCACTTTGGGAGGCCGAGGCGGGTGGATCACGAGGTCGAGAGATCGAGACCATCCTGGTCAACATGGTGAAACCCCGTCTCTACTAAAAATACAAAAAATTAGCTGGGCATGGTGGCGCGTGCCTGTAATCCCAGCTACTCAGGAGGCTGAGACAGGAGAATTGCCTGAACCCAGGAGGCGGAGGTTGCGGTGAGCCGAGATTGCACCATTGCACTCCAGCCTGGGTAACAAGAGCGAAACTCTGTCTCAAAAAAAATAATAATAATAATAATAATAATAGTAGAAGCAGCAACCACTTTTTGAGTGCTTCTTTATCCATTTGCATGCATTATTTCAACAAATCTTCACATAGCCCACAATCAAGCCTTTGCTTGCTTGCTCGCTTGCTTGCTTTCTCTCTCTCTTCTTCCATCCCTCCTCTTTCTCTCTCTCTCTTTTTCTTTTCTTTTCTTTCTTAGATGGGCTTTCATATCCTGCCCAGGATGACCTTAAACTCCTGGCCTCAAGTGACCCTCTTGTCAGGTCTCCATATGCAAGCCTGGAGCCTGAAAGTCTGAAGTCCTGCTTGCCTCAGCTAATCGTCTCCCACCTGCCACCTGCGTTCGCCATTGTCCCTAGTGGCCCAGTGGAGCTTCCCCAGACAAGTTCCTCACCCAACTTTACCATTTTAACTGTTATTTTAACACTCTTATCCCACCCACCATTGTAACTGAACTTCTGATAATGTATACTCCTTGCCCCTATCCCCACCACTGTAACTGCTCTTACTTTGTAACTTTCCACTGCCCACCCCAAACCTATAAAACCAACTCCTATCCCACTGCCCTTTGCTATGCCCTTTTCTGCCTTAGCCCACCTCCACCCAGGTGAATAAATAGCCATGTTGCTCACACAAAGCCTGTTTGGGGGAGGGTCTCTTCATTCAAAGCCCACATTTTTAATATTTGGTGCCAAAAACCGGGACAGGGGAACTCCTATGGGAGACCAAACGCCCGTCCCTGTTCTTGTGCTCCCTCCATGAAGAGATCTACCTATGAACCTGGGGTCATCAGACCTGCCCACAGACGCACACCACCGGCTCTTTTGGTAAGCAGTTTCTCTTTTTTGCTTTCCCATTCTTTTGTCTTTCCCTTTCCACTTCCTCCCTCTTTTGGTTTCATGAGGAGGAAGAGGAAAGGAAAAGACAAAAGTGGCTGGGTTGCTGCCCATTTTCCTTGTCTCTGCTGCCTTTCCAGAACCATGGGCAATCATCCATCCTCTATCCCTCCCTTCTCTCCGCTGGCCGGTGTTCTAAAAAACCTCAAGCCTCTTCAACTGTCTCCTGACCTAAAAACTCAACCGTCTCATCATCTTCTGAAATACTGCATGGCCACAATACAAGTTAAACAACAGCTCCAACTGGCCAAAAAATGGCACCTTCGACCCCTTTATTTTACAAGATTTAGAAAATTTGTCACAACCCGGGCAAATGGTCTGAAATTCCCTACGTCCAGGCATTTTTAACACATCAATCCCTCCCTAATCTCTACTCCTTCTCTTCCCTTCTATCTGCCCCTCTTCCTCTGCCAGTAAGCCAAAATCCTCCTTGTCCATCAACCCTTCCAACCTTTCTCCTCCCCACCTGTCCAAACCAGACCCTAATCCAGGACCTAACCTCACCCCCCAAAGTCTTCCTCCTCTTCCTCTGCCCACAACCCACTTCCTTATGCCTCTCCTGTCACCTCTCTACCTCATACTCGGCCCAGCTTAGTTTAGTCCCGTGGCTACATCCTCTGCCCCTTCCCAACAATTCCTCCTTCCACAGGTGGCTGGAGCCAAAGGCACAGGTAGGGTGCACATTTCTTTCTCTTTGTCCAACTTTTCCCAAATTGGCCACTGGTTAGGCTCCTTTTCATCAAATCCTCCAATACTTAACTCAGTCCTATAATTTCACCTGGAGTAACTTAAATGTCATCCTTACTTCTACTCTCACCCCTAAAAAATGCTTAATATGCATTTTATCACCCAATCAGCCCCTAACATTACAAAAAGGTACAGAAATTAAAATCTCAAACCCCACAACAAGAATTAAGCAACCTCACCTTCAAGGTGTTTGATAATAGGGAAAAATCGGCCCACCAGCAGCGCATCTCAGAACTACAGATGTTTGCCTCTGCCATAAGACAAACCCCAGCCATACCACCGGCTCACAAAGACTTCAAAGCGCCCAGACTGCAGCACATCCAGCCGCCCCTCCTGGACTTTGCTTCAAGTGTGGGAAACCTGGCCACTGGGCCAAGGAATGCCCAAAGCCCGAGATTCCTCCTAAGCCCTGCCCCATCTGTGCAGGGCCCCCACAGAAAGTCGACTCACATCGCTGCTCCCAGAGCTCCTGAAGCTCCAATCCTCAGCTTGGCGTCTAAAGACTAATGCTGCCCCAAGTATCTCAGAAGCCCCCTGGACCATCATGGACACTGAATTTTGAGTAACTCTTATGGTGGAGGGTAAGTCCATCCCCTTCTTAATCAACACGGAGGCCACCCACTCCACAATGCCTTCTTTTCAGGGACCTGTCTCCTTGGTCTCCATAACTGTTGTGGGAATTGATGGCAAGGCCTCCATGCCTCTCAAAACTCCCCAAGTCTGGTGTCAGTTAGGCCAGCACTCCTTCCAAATTCTTTCCTAATCATCCCCACCTGTCCAGTTACCCTATTAGGTCAAGATATCCTAGCAAAACTGTCTGCCTCCTTAACTATTCCTGGGCTATGGCCACACTTCATTGCCTCCCTCTTCCCCGAACCCGTACCTCCCTCAATAGCTCCCCTTATGTCCCCCTACCTTAATCCTAGGGTGTCAAACACTGCCTTCCGATCTGTTGCTACGAGTCACTTGCCCCTCATCATCCCCTTAAAACCTAACCACCCTTACCCCGCCCAGCTCCAGTACCCCATTCCACAACAGGCTTTAAAAGGTATAAGCCACGGCCGGGCGCGGTGGCTCAAGCCTGTAATCCCAGCACTTTGGGAGGCCAAGGCGGGTGGATCACGAGGTCAAGAGATCGAGACCATCCTGGTCAACTTGGTGAAACCCCGTCTCTACTAAAAATACAAAAAATTAGCTGGGCATGGTGGTGCGTGCCTGTAATCCCAGCTACTCAGGAGGCTGAGGCAGGAGAATTGCCTGAACCCGGGAGGCGGAGGTTGCGGTGAGCTGAGATCGCGCCATTGCACTCCAGCCTGGGTAACAAGAGCGAAACTCCGTCTCAAAAAAAAAAAAAAAAAAAAAAGGTATAAGCCTGTTATCACCCATCTATTGCAACACGGCCTTTTAATTCACCTTCCTGCTTCTTCAGCATCTATACTCAAAGGGGTATCATGTATCCCCTTCCAAAGACCAAATTTCTTCCCCATCTGTTATAATCTTTTGCCAGCATACACACACTCTCCCTGCCTACCGTATCCAGTTAATTTCCCAAACCCCAACCCCATCTACCAAACAACATCTTCTCTCTTTCCAGGATGTGGTTGCTGCTTTCACCTCTGGATACCAGGTTTTGCTATTCTAAGTCATTGTATAAACTCACTAAAGAAAACTTATCCAACCCTATTAATCCTAAATCCTTTCCTCACTCCTTAAAAACAGCTCTAAAAACTGCTCCCTCCCTAGCTCTCCCCAACTTGTCTCAACACTTTTCATTATACACTGCTAAAATCCAGGACTGTGCAGTTGGGATTCTTACACAGGAGCCAGGCCCACCACCTGTAGCCCTTTTATCCAAACAACTTAACCTAACAGCCCTGGGCTGGCCCTCATGACAACGCGCAGCAGCAGCCACTCTAATACTCTTAAAATCCCTCAAAATTACAGGCTATGCCCCATTTACCCTCTAGCTCTCACAACTTCCAAAGTTTTCTCTTTACACATCACACACTTTCAGCCCCTCGCCTTCTCCACCTTTATGCAGTCGCCCCTACTACTTAAACCACACCTAAATTAGCTGGGCATGGTGGCGCGTGCCTGTAATCCCAGCTACTCAGGAGGCTGAGGCAGGAGAATTGCCTGAACCCAGGAGGCGGAGGTTGCGGTGAGCCGAGATCGCGCCATTGCACTCCAGCCTGGGTAACAAGAGCGAAACTCCGTCTCAAAAAAAAAAAAAAAAAACCACACCTTAAAAAGTCTGTTTCTAATGTTTTCTGTCTAACTGCTCAAATTCACTGTACTCATTTACTTTTACATGCCCTGCCAAATTTCTCTAAAAGGGACTCTGCCCATATCTGGAACAAATGTAGGATAAGATCACATGTGGTTACTGGTTTCTCCTGTGTTCTCTGTCCTCAACAGTGGCCAACAATCAAAAGCTGCCAGGATAATCACTCCAGGGAGGCTCCTCACAATTTAAAGGATTACCTCTGTTGGTTTTAGGTTCATCAAGTATCACAAAGGAATCTTCATCAGCACCTAGCCGTGGTTTAATGGAAACATCTACTCCCAGTTGCTTAAGTCTATCCAGAGTAAACCGTCTCACTTTTTCAGGGGGCACAACTACTGATGATTTACTTTGCTGCCCAGGCTCTTCCACTTTCTCATCTGTTTCTTCTGGTTTTGAGAGGCCTTTGCCCTCCAGGACATGAGGTTCAAATGCTACAAGCCCTCCAACCTGACATTCCTCACTGTGATTGTTCCCAAGGAAGTTGGATTCCTGTTGCAACACTGAGCTATTCCCAGGTGAAGATCTAATGTCACTCTGCTTCTGTTTCTCCTGAATTTCTCGCTCTTCATTTGCTACCAAATCCTTCCTGCAAGACTCATCTGATCCAGTAGTGATCCAAGTTTCCTTTGAAGCCACAGGGAGTGCGTTAATTTCCACTTCATTTTCTGCACCTGTTGTCTGCTCAGAACCTTTACTATGGTGATCACTGTTCATTTCAGTAGTATTTGCAGTGTCTATGATTTCTTTGTGACGGCTTGACTGATATTTAGATGACCTAGAGAAGAGAAAATGAGCTGGAGTTGAAAATTATCCTAAATGTGAAACATTCTCATCCCTTACCATATAATAAATCAGTTAAATCAGTTTTAAGGGAGTGAGAAATCTAAACTTTTTATCCCATATGTTTGCTACAAAACTGAAAGTTCATGAAAATTATAATCATAAGGAAAGAGGGTTCTTACTTCAATAGTGCCATGGCATTTCCCTGGCAAGTGGGCCGAGGTTTACGTTTGAAGAAATCATGAATGGTTTTATTCTCAGGCATATGATATGGAAGATTAAGTGCGGACTCTATAAGAGGAAATAAAACAAGCAAACATATATACTGTATATTCTAAGATGTCACTACATCTTCAGTTAACCAAACATAATAACCAAAGCCATCACTAGAAATAGAAAACTCCCCTTGAACAAAGGCAAGAGCTAAGTACAAAAGAACTCCTCAAAGACCAGTGGCTTTTAAACCTAGCTGTGAAATCAAAATGATCCAGGAAGTGTTTTACAAATACAGATTCTTGGATCCCATTTCAAACTACTGAATCAGAATCTCTTTGGAGCCTAAAAATGTATATACAGTAGCCCCCCACCCCCCTTATCCACAGGGATACATTCCAAGATCTGCAGTGGATGCCTGAAACTGCGGATAGTACAGAACCATGCAGGGTTTTTTTTGATCTGATGACTGAGAGGGCTACTAACAGGCAGGTAGCATATAGGGCATGATACACTGGACAAAGGGATGATATTTTAAAATTCCATGGTCCATGGCTGACCACAGGTAACCAAAACTGCGACTAAGCGGGGATTACTACCTCTCAAAAGAATCCTGACACAGTCAGTCCACAGACAGCCATTAAAAAATTTCCTCTGGCCGGGTGCGGTGGCTCACACCTGTAATCCCAGCACTTTGGGAGGCCGAGGTGGGACGATCATAAGGTCAGGAGATTGAAACCATCCTGGCCAACATGGTGAAACCCCGTTTCTACCAAAAATACAAAAAAATTAGCTGGGAGTGGTGGTGCATGCTTGTAGTCCCAGCTACTCAGGAGGCTGAAGCAGAATTGCTTGAACCCAGGAGGCGGAGATTGCAGTGAGCCGAGACGGTGCCACTGCACTACAGCCTGGGTGACAGTGCGAGACTCCGTCTCAAAAAAAAAAAAAAAAAAGACCTCCTTACTTCCACTACAGTTCTGAAAATTTCTTCAGTTTATACCAATGTTCCAAGGGCTTTAGAACAACGGCCATTCACCAAGATCAATTCTAAACTTGATATTATAACCTGAGTTCACATTAGAAGTGTTAAAAAAAAAATAAGTCTCCAAGTTGAGCTTACAAAGAAATACTGTGACTTTCCCTCAAAGTTTACTGAGTTGCATTACCTCGAATAAGGCGCTGAGTCTCACTATGCAGTTGTTTTAATGCTTCTTTACTTAACTTGGCTGCCTTTCTTTCCTTAAAGAAAACAAACAGTGAGACTACATTAATTATATGAATATCCAGAAAGATAAATATTCATCTCTCAAGAGTTTGCTCTCTCCAAGAAAAGAGGAGAGGAAATAGTAAGCACAAGTAAGCCTAAATGCAGTATAGACTCAAGGAACTCACTTATTCCCAAGTCTCAGAGAACTCGTTCAATCCATTTCATATTTGTGCTCGTACTATGTTCAAAGCAATATGATGGGTAACAGAAAAACATGATAACCAAATAACATATTTATCCCTGAGAAGCCGATAATCTCCTGTGTGAAGAGATCAATGTGACTAATATACAGGGCTTTACCTCACCTTCCTCATGGTTCCTTTTGATAACTCACTTTCTTCCTCAAATGAATGGACCCCACTCCCCAAAGATGGTTCTTTTTTCTAAAAGAAATGGCAGGTTGATTATTAAGATAAAAACAAAATTCAAATAAGAGGATGCTTTAGTTAAAGACTACTTTTGTAGTCCAACAACACATCATGCTACATTAATAAATCAATAATCATCAAATAGAAATTATTAAACACACAGCATTCTATTATGCTTGGAAAACAAATTAGATATCTCAAATGGAGTTTGGACCCTTATTTCTTTTACCTCTGCTTACATCTTTCCCTAAAGAGGGATAATGACTCCCAGGAAGCTAAAGAAAATCTTAGAAAGAAAAATTTTGCTTCCAAACACTTGGGACAATGTTTTGACTGATGCCTCTTTTTGATACCCTTCCTGAAACCCTATAGAGTTTATTTCTCAAAGGTCATAGGATTGCAAAATTTATCTCTCTTCCCCATTATTTATCTGCATCTTGCTACACCATCAAGTATCTTACTTTTTTTTCCCCAACATTCCTAAAAGGGTAATAACAAAGTGCTAGTTTCCAAAGAAGTTAGCATGTCTATCACTCGTACTGCAAGTTTCCAAAATTAACAGCTGAAAAACTTAAATCAATTGACACATGTTTTTCTTCAGTTAAAAAAAAAATTAAGGTTACAACAGTAAATTAAAAATATAGTGAACGTCAGAAACAGTTGCTTAACTCTTACTGCAATCATGCTTTACTTGCCTTGTGCTTTTTTACTTTGTTTTTCACGGCTGCTCTTATTGATTCTAATGATTCTTCATCTTCCAATGGAGAGTTATTTTCATCCTCCAACCCAGTTTCAAAAAGGTCTTTATCCACAAGAAGACAGCTACTGTCATTAAATGGCTGTTCTACATCATCTTCCTAGGTAACATATAAACAAAAAACAATCCAATCATTTCAAAATCCACTATTTCACAACATCATATAGCAGTTTGGATCAGGCCAGAAAAAGCCTATGTTTCATCAACAGACAAGCATATAAAATCTAGAACATTCTCACTGGTTTGTAACTCACATTTATCCTTTGAAGTCCAAGTGGTGATTTTATGCAACTGTCCAAAACTAACTTAATCAACTTTTTTTTTTTTAAAGAAAAGTCAAATACCTATTAAGCAATTAGTTTATAAATTCAAGGATGGTTTTTCTAGTTAGCAAACAAGACTTCTGACTGATAGATGTACAAAAAAGCCTTCTTTCAAAGTTAACTTCCATCAGATCAGAGGCAGCAAAGAATTACTCCATGGGCTCATAAAGAAAATCAGAAACCTATTTATTTGGAAATGTCCTCTGTATATCCAAAATACAGAATTAAGACCAATAAGTTTTTGTTGTTGTTTGAGACAAGGTCTCACTTTGTCGTCCAGGCTGGAGTGCAATGGTACAATTACAGCTCATTGTAGCCTCAACCTCCTGGGCTCTAGTGATTCTTCTACCTCAACCTCCCAAGTAACTGGGACTACAGCCATCACACCCAGCTAATTTTTAAATTTTTTGTAGAGGCAGGATCTCACGCTATTGCCTAGGCTGGTCTTGAACTCCTGGGCTTAAGTGAACCTCTGGCCTCGGCCTCCCAAAGTACTGGGATTAGAAGCATGCGCCACTGCACCTGGCCAAGACCAGTTATTTATTTATTTTTTTTTTTTTTGAGATGGAGTTTCGCTCTTTCCAGGCTGGAGTGCAATGGTGCGATCTTGGCTCACCGCAACCTCCGCCTCCTGGGTTCAGGCAATTCTCCTGCCTCAGCCTCCTGAGTAGCTGGGATTACAGGCACGCGCCACCACGCCCAGCTAGTTTTTTGTATTTTTAGTAGAGACGGGGTTTCACCATGTTGACCAGGATGGTCTCGATCTCTCGACCTTGTGATCCACCCGCCTCGGCCTCCCAAAGTGCTGGGATTACAGGCTTGAGCCACCGCGCCCGGCCAAGACCAGTTATTTTAAATCACATACCCTATTCTCAACACAAAATAGCCAATTCAAAGCAATATTTGGAGAGTAGAAACAACCTCAAGTACTAACAGCAACCACTTCTAAAATGTTAATCTATCTGAGCAATAGCAAATTATTCTTTAAAATGTACCTGATTTTTTGTTTCCTTCTTTTTTAGCTGTCTAATTTTTTCCATTTTTCTCTCCTCTTTCTCAAGTCTTCTTTTTGATTTTACTTTTGCTTTTCCTGCAGTTCCTGCTTTATCATGTGTCTGCTTTTTGGAATTCTTTCTGTCAGTGGTAAAGTCCATAGAGTTTCCAGAATGAAGACTCAACTCTAAACAAGGTTTCACTTGAGCTTCAAGATTTTCCTGATATAAAGACTTCTCCATGTGACTTTCATCACTATCTGCCAGAGTTTTGTAAATCCTTTTGATTTTTGTATTTTTCCCAGCATATAAATTCTCTTTATTTTCCTCCTCAGCACTGTCATAGGTAGTTTTCTCCGGAAAGGCATTTGTGTCCTCTGTTTCAGAATCACTGTCTTGTAGAACCTTCCTGTTTTTCAACTTCTTACTTACAAATATCTCTTCATCTGAATCTGAAGGAAACATTTTTTTCAAATTATATAATCATTTGATCTTTCTCCTAATCCCACTACTCCTCAAAAATATATTTAGTTATACAAGTGATATATTACATTGTGAAATTATGTAACTACTATTAAGAACTGATTGTAGCAAAGCAAATCTAAAAATACATTTTGAAAAACATTTTCCCTGAAAAAAATGTCTCTTACTGAGAAATGTAACTTTTTTTAACTTTTTTTTTTTTGAGACGGAGTTTCACTCTTGTTACCCAGGCTAGAGTGCAATGGCACGATCTCGGCTCACTGCAACCTCCGCCTCCTGAGTTCAGGCAATTCTCCTGCCTCAGCCTCCTGAGAGGCTGGGATTACAGGCACGCGCCACCATGCCCAGCTAATTTTTTGTATTTTTAGTAGAGACGGGGTTTCACCATGTTGACCGGGATGGTCTCAATCTCTTGACCTCATGATTCACCTGCCTCGGCCTCCCAAAGTGTTGGGATTACAGGCTTGAGCCACCGTGCCTGGCCATCCGAGAAATGTAATTTTAATGTGTAAAATTGTTCTAATCCTCTGGCAGGTGTTAGAATTCCTTTTATTATAGGATGAATGCAGTTAACCAGGCAATGTGTTAGCTATTAGACATTCAACAATATAAAAGAAATTCGTAGTTTCAAAAAGGTACAGGCACTGTTATTTTGCTTTTATAGTAAAACATACAATAAGGAAGGGGCATTAATAATGTAATAAATCAAGAGAATAATGAAATTAATCCAATCTACTTACAACCAAGGCTCTGGCATCCTATTCCTAAAAATGAAAATACTATTACAAACCTCCTTCACTCAAGGGTCCAATTGTTTCATAGCTGCCCTGTCCACTATCTGAAGGACTATCTGCTTCCTCTTGTGAAATGACTTTTGGATTGTTGATTTCTAGGTGAACCTAGAAAATGACAATTACTTTGTGTTAACCAGCAGGTAACCGAAAGCTTCAAGTACATAATGACACATAAATCATCATGGGATCATCAACCTGAACTAAGGAAAGAATCAAATACAATGGTTCCTTGAAGGATGACATTTAGAATTACTGGACAACAAACTCATTTTTCACCTTTGAAGGATGATAACAAAGCCAACTTTTTGAGGAATGATTAAAAAAAAAAAAAAAGAAAAGATCGCCGGGTGCGGTGGCTCACACCTGTAATCCCAGCACTTTGGGAGGCCGAGGTGGGTGGATCACGAGGTCAAGAGATCGAGACCGTCCTGGTCAACATGGTGAAACCTCGTCTCTACTAAAAATACAAAAAAAAATTAGCTGGGCATGGTGGTGAGTGCCTGTAGTCCCAGCTACTCAGGAGGCTGAGGCAGGAGAATTGCTTGAACCCAGGAGGCGGAGGTTGCAGTGAGCCGAGATTGAGCCATTGCACTCCAGCCTGGGTAACAAGAGCGAAACTCTGTCTTAAAAAAAAAAAAAAAAATGGCTCAAGTCTGTATCCCAGCACTTTGGGAGGCTGAGGCGGGTGGATCACAAGGTCAAGAGATCGAGACCATCCTGGTCAACATGGTGAAACCCCGTCTCTACTAAAAATACAAAAAAGTAGCTGGGCATGGTGGCACGTGCCTGTAATCCAAGCTACTCAGGAGGCTGAGGCAGGAGAATTGCCTGAACCCAGGAGGCGGAGGTTGCGGTGAGCCGAGATTACGCCATTGCACTCTAGCCTGGGTAACAAGAGCGAAACTCCGTCTCAAAAAAAAAAAAGAAAAAAAAAGAAAAGATCAAGCATTTATTATGATTTCTCTGTGTGAACTGTTCCCCAAAATATCCAAATGACTGATAAGGGAAAGTTTCTCATTGATTAAAGAAATATCCTAATCAATGAAGAAATAATAGAATTAGATTATCACAATTTTATCAACCCTCAATTATTAAACAACAGACCTAGGCAATTATCATTAATGGCTGCTAACATCATCAAAAGAGAAACAACCAGACATTATGTGCTGCCCAATAGAAGTACCCAATGCTAGCTATAAAGTATTCCTGACAAAACAATCAACTCTGAATCCTATCAAGTCTCTAGATCTAACTACCTATTTACAGGAACTAGAGGGAATAGGGGAACATGTTGAATAACACCACAGAGATGCAATCTAGATGTGGGAAACTCCACAAGTCAAACTGGGTGATTTCTTTCTTTTTAATTTCTTTCTTTCTTTTTTTGAGATGAAGTCTCACTCTGTCACCCAGGCTGTAGTACAGTGGCACAATCTCAGCTGGGATTACAGGCATGCACCAACACACCCAGCTAATTTTTTGTATTTTAGTAGAGATGAGGTTTCACCATGTTGGCCAGACCAGTTTTGAACTCCTGACCTCAGGTGATCCACCAGCCTTGGCCTCCCAAAGTGCTGGGATTACAGACATGAGCTACCCTGCCCAGCCAGTTTAACAATATATTGTAAAGAAAAAAAAGAGAGGGAGAGGGACCCATAAAGAAAGTTGATACACAAGAGATACACAAGTGAATGTATGTATCTGTGTACATAGGTATATTTCTATAGTTATATATATACACATATATTTCTATATGCATGTATGTAATGTATACTTCTACATACATATATGTATGTTTCATATATTTATGTATATCTTAAAATATATACATATATGTGTATATATACACATATATATTAATATAAACAATTGCAATATGCCAACTTTGGGTGATTCAAAAAATGAAAAATATAAAAAAATTATGCTAAAGTGGCATATAAAAATAAATGAAATATCTATGACTCAAATAAATCTAAACACTGACTAGATACTTCTTAGGTGTGGTAATAATATTGTAGTTATCTTTTATGGAAAGCCCTTGTCTTTTAGATATGCACGCTAAAATATTTGTGGTTAAAATAGTATGGTATCTGGGACTTTCTTCCAAATAATCCAGTGAGAGGAAAAATGGGTAGGGGTATAAATGAAACAAGACTGGTCATGATTTGATAATACAGGTTGAACATCTCTAATCTGAAAATCTGAAATCTCCCAAATCCAAAACATTTGAGCACTGACATGATGCCACTAGGTTGAAAATTCCACACCTCATCTCCTATGATGGGTTGAAGTAAAATCTTTGTTTCATGCACAAAGTTATTTTAAAATACTGTATAAAATTACCTTCAGACTATGTGTATAAAGTGTATATGAAATATAACTGAATTTCATTTTTTAGACTTGGGTCCCTCCCCTAAGACATATCATTATGTGTATGCATATATTCCAAAATCCAAAATAAATCTGAAATTCAAAACCCTTCTGGTCCCAAGCATTTCAGATGAGAGATACTCAAAACTGAAGTCAAAGTAAGGTGATGGGTTCATTATACCAGCTTTTCCATGTTTGTATAGATTTGAAAATAAGACAGTATAAAAAGTCACAAATAAAAATTTAAGGAGCAGGGTTATGTTAGGTGACTTGATCAGTTGGTGACCAAGCTACCCTAAATGCCAAGTCTACCTCCTTTATGTTCTTTAGGCTCTGAATCAACTTATTAATAAAGGGAGAAATATGAGCTTCAGTAATGTAACAGGGCACAAGGCCTCACCCTAGTGGCTTCTCAAAAAATTATTAAATTGATTTGAATTTTTGGTATTCAATTTTTTTTTTTTTTTTTGATACGGCACCTCACTATGTCGCCCAGGCTGGAGTGCAGTGGCAGGATCATGGCTCACTGCAGCCTTGACCTCCCAGGCCCAAAGGATCCTCTCACCTCAGCATCCAGAGAAATTGGAACCGTATGCGACACCCAGCTAATTTTTGTATGTTTGTTTTGTAGAAACAGAGTTTTGCCATGTATCTTATGCAGGCTGGTTTTGAACTCTTGAGCTCAAGCAATCCGATCACCTTGGCCTCCCAAAGCCCTGGGATTGCTGAGAATTAATATGTATTCACTGATGATCCTCTCAACAATCCAGAGCAGTAAAACTATTACTTCTGTTTGTGAATGTGGAAACCAATTTTAGGTAACCAGACAGCTTAAGGAATAGGGCTGCTTTTAATCACGATTCTCTTCTATGCAATTTGCAGCAATGTCAAAGGGCAGGGCCAGGAACAGGGTGAGGTCAGGTCTCAAAAAATTCAGTAATCAAAATAAATAACACATCAATGCAATTATTTTTCAAAAAAATAAATCTCCCACGCCTGTAATCCCAGCACTTTGGGAGGCAGAGGCGAGCGGATCATGAGGTCAAGCGATCGAGACCATCCTGGCCAACATGGTGAAACCCCGTCTCTACTAAAAATACAAAAAAAATTAGCTGGGCATGGTGGGGCACGCCTGTAGCCCCAGCTACTCAGGAGGCTGAGGCGGGAGAATTGCTTGAACCCGGGAGGCAGAGGTTGCAGTGAGCTGAGGTCGCGCCACTGCGCTCCAGCCTGGCGCCTGGTGACAGAGTGAGACTTTGTCTCAGGAAAAAAAAAAAAAAAAAAAAAAAAATTAAATCTCCATGAGACCCCTGCCAATAATTAAAAAAAAAAAAAAATCAAATCAACAGAGGCCATATGTGGTGGCTCACGTCTGTAATCCCAGCACTTTGAGAGGCCGAGGTGGGCAGATCACCTGAGGTCAGGAGTTCAAAACCAGCCTTCATGGCCAACATGGTGAAACCCCATCTCTACTAAAAATAAAAAAATTACCTGGGCATGGTGGCACACATCTGTAATCTGAGCTACTTGGGAGGCTGAGGCAAGAGAATCACTTGAACCTGAGAGGAGGAGGTTGCAGTGAGCAAGATCGAGCCACTGTACTCCAGCCTGGGCCACACAGTGAGACGCTGTCTCCAAAAATAAGAAAATAAATAAAAATCAACAATCTATGGCTCATGAGGTCAGCCGCCCGCTTCTGTAAATAAATGTATTGGAACCAGGGGCGGGATTAGGGTGAGGTGAGTGAGGCAGGGTCCTGCAAGAGCCTGGTCGGATCTTGTCTTTGTTTAAACGTCTGATATTTTGTTCAATATCAAATCATAAAATGTTTTGCATTAATTTTGGTTTTTTAAAAATATTGCATTGAAATAATGAGTTACATTTGATTACTGAGGGTTTTGGCACCCCTTTAAATTTTGCTCCTAAGGCGAGAGTGCCTTGCCCGAATCCGGCCCCAGAAAGGACACAGGTCTGGAAACGTATGTTATTATGCCCAGTTTCACCAGAGAGCTGCCAGCCACCAGCCAGGAGCCCCGACTGTGACTTCCCCACTCCGGGCCCCGTCGGAAAACGCGCAGGGCCAGCGCCCGATGACCTCCAGGCCCGCTCCCAAGCCGTGTGGCGCTCCCTAGCAGAACACTCTCGCCCTCTATTTGCCGAGAATCCCGCCCCGCACCCTGGCGGCCCGGTTCGGCCAGAGAGTCCTGGTTTTCGGGGCACCCCGAGGGGAGGAGCTTCCGCGGCAGGAAACGCGCCAAAGGGCTGGGCGGGCGGCAGGGAAGGGCTGAGCTTTAGGCACCGCGCGCCGCAGAGACCTGGAGGGGCCCGAAGCACCGGAAGCCCGACGGCGGCACGGGACGCCCATTCGGAGACCAACCTGGCCGAGTCGCCAGGCCGCGGGAGCGGGCGCGGCGAACGCCAGGAGCCGCAGTAGTACCGCCCGGGAGCTCCGGCTCTGCCGGGTCTACCCCAGCCCTACCTAACCCCTCGGCGCCGGGCCTTCGCAGCCCCGGTGAGAACCGTGTGCATAAACTCACCTCGGAACCCACCTCTCCCGTCATGACTCCTGCCTGCACAGCGCTGCGCCAGGGATGGAGCAGTCTGTGGTTCCCTCAGCCGGAGCGCAGCGGCTACCACAGTCTCCAGCCCGGCAGCCCTGTTCGAGCTTTCCCGCCCAGCCAGAGTGGAGGCCCCACCCCGATAATTTGCACCAATCCAGAGAGGGCTTTCGAGCGAGGCCCCGCCCTCATCCGACCCACCAATCACGCAGCGCCTCCGGCCGCCCAATCTCATTTAACTCGGGCTGGGTTGGCGGGTGGTAGTAACTTGGCCGCGGAGCCCGGGCCACCTGGAGGTGCGCGGGATGCGGTGCCATAGGTACTAGGCGAGCAGTGGTCTTTGACCATTGACACTTGCTTAAACATCAAGTGCGATTGGAGGAGTGAGTCTTCCAGGAAGAAGTGAGCCGGCAAACCGTACCTGGGCACCTGGGAGTGTCCTGTATCTGAACCTTTTCAGAGGGATTCCAGGGTCCCCGTGGGGATTTTCTCTACTGACTTCATTTCTGGAACAGCTAAATCCGGTCTGCCTCTTGCACATGACACTTATCATTGAGTGTATATATATATATATATATATATATATATATATATATATATATACACATACATACACACACACACACACACACACACAAACATACTGTTGTTTTTTTGAGATGGAGTCGCCCTCTGTTGCCCAGGCTGTAATGCAATGGCGTGATCTCAGCTCACTACAATCTCCGCTTCCCGGGTTCAAGCGATTCTTGTGCCTCAGCCTCCCGAGTATCTGGGATTACAGGCACCCGCCGCCTCGCCCGGCTAATTTTTGTATTTTTAGTAGATATGGGGTTTTACCATGTTGGCCAGGCTGGTCTTGAACTCCTGACCTCAAATGATCCGCCTGCCTCGGCCTCCCAAAGTGCTAGGATTACAGGCCTTAGCCACCACTCCCAGCCCACTTTTATTTTTTAAAGAGGGCTAGGCGCCTTGGCTCATGCCTGTAATCTCAAGGCTTTGGGAGGTCGAGGTGGGAGGATGGCTTGAGCCCAGGAGTTTGAGGTTAGAGTGATTTATGATCACGCCACCGCAATCCAGCCTGGGCGACAGAGCAAGACCCTGTCTCTAAAGAAAAAAAGTTTTGCGGGCTGCTCAGATACCAACGAGTATAGTTGGAAAATCTTTATAATTTTATGTAGGGTGAATTCGAGGATGTAGAAAGCCCTCAACATTCCTAAAGGGCTACCTTTAAACAAGGCTAGGAAAAGAAACTCTGGGCCGGGTGCAGTGGTTCACGTCTGTAATCCCAGCACTTAGGGAGGCTGAGGCGGGTGGATCATGAAGTCAGGAGTTCAAGATCAGCTTGGCCAAGATGGTGAAACCCCATCTCTACTAAAAATACAAAAAATTAACTGGGTGTGCTGGCGGGCACCTGTAATCCCAGCTACTCAAGAGACTGAGGCAGAGAATTGTATGAACCTGAGAGATGGAGGTTGTAGTGAGCAGAGATCGTGCCACTGCACTCCAGCCTGGGTGACAGAGCAAGACTCTGTCTCAAAAAAAAAGAAGAATTGAAACTTAAGTTTAGCCGAGACAGTTCTAATCCCAGTTCTGCCACTGTGCTAGCCATTATTTTTTGCCCCTCCACATCAATTCTCTGTCCTTTCTTTGCCCTGGTGTGTGTCGCGGCAAGACTGACCTCTCTACTGTATTATCCCACCTCCCTTGCCCTCTGGCTTCTGGTTGGGTCAGCCTATGTAAAGGTTATGTAAGGAGAGCAGAGGCCACCAGGAAAGAAAAGTCAGAGTATTTATTGATTTATTGCTGATTTCACCCTCCATGGTCACATTCACTGCTAGTGTGGCCAGCTTGGCCCAGCTTGCCCAGGACTTTCCTAGTTTTGTTTTTTGTTTTTGTTTTTGTTTTTCTGAGATGGAGTCTTGCTCTGTCACCCAGACTGGAGTGCAATGGCACAATCTTGGCTCAGTGCAACCTCGGCCTTCCGGATTCAGGCGATTCTTCTGCCTCAGCCTCACCGAGTAACTGAGATTACAGGCATGTGCCACCATGCCTGGCTAAGTTTTACGGTTTTAGTAGAGATGGGGTTTCAACATGTTAGGCTGGTCTCAAACTCCTGACCTCGTGATCTGCATGCCTCAGCCTCCCAAAGTGCTGGGATTACAGGCATGAGCCACTGCACCCAGCCAACTTTCCTAGTTTTAGCACTGAAAGTCCCGCATCCTGAGAACCTCCTCAGTCACAGGCATACCATATGGCTGGTTTGTCAACCAATCCACTGGCCTCCTCTTCTAAGTTTCCAGCTTTAGCTGGATTCAGAAAAAGCTCCCTCTCCACGTCTTCATTTCTTTACCTCCTCACCATCTCTCAAACCACTTCTGTCCCCACCAAGAGCCTATCATCCATCTGCTTCTCTTTTTGTGTCTTGGTTTATCCACCTTTTCATCCACTTTACTATTAATTTCTACATCGATGATTCCCAAATATACATCTATGGCACTTCCCATCATATATGGAGGGCTAATGTTTATTGAAGTCTTACTCTCTGGCAGAAACAATTGCAAGGATTTTATGAGCATTATCTTATTTAATCTTCAGAGTAAACTTGTAAGTAATATTATTATCTCTTTTTTAGAAGATCAGGAAACCAAACTTTTAAAAGGCTAGGAGCTGGTGGAACCAATGTTCAGATCCTGCTCTATGTGACTTCAGAGCTCATACCCCTCAGGGAGACCCTGCCTGAGCATCCTCTGTGTTATCCCTTCTTTTTTTTTTTTTTTTTTTTTTTTTTTTGAGACGGAGTTTCGCTCTTGTTAACCCAGGCTGGAGTGCAATGGCACGATCTCGGCTCACCGCAACCTCCGCCTCCTGGGTTCAGGCAATTCTCCTGCCTCAGCCTCCTGAGTAGCTGGGATTACAGGCACACGCCACCATGCCCAGCTAATTTTTTGTATTTTTAGTAGATACGGGGTTTCACCATGTTGACCAGGCTGGTCTCGATCTCTTGACCTCGTGATCCACCCGCCTCGGCCTCCCAAAGTGCTGGGATTACAGGCTTGAGCCACCGCGCCCAGCCGTGTTATCCCTTCTTATCCTGTGCTGCTTTCCCTGATAACACCTACCTTTGCCTGACATTTTATTTATATCTGTTTGTCTGTTGTTGCTCCAAGAGGATAGCTGCTTGTTTTCTTCGCCTCTGTATCAGTGCTATCTAGAATTGTCTTTCTTAAGTTTGAGCACACATCAGAATAATCTGAAAGGATGGTAAAAATAGCAATTGTTGGGTCCTAAAGTTTCTGATTCAATATGTCTGAAGTGAGGTCCAGGAATGCATATGCTTTTTCTTTCCTTTTTTCTTTTTTTTTTTTTCCTCCCAGAGTGCAGTGGCATGATCACAGCTCACTGCAGCCTCAACCTCCCAGGCTTAAGCAACTCTTCCACCTCAGCCTCCCAGATGGATGGGACTGCGGCTGTGCACCCCCATGCCCAGGTAATCTTTTATTTTGTAGGGACAGGATCTCATCGTGTTGCCCAAGCTGGTCTCAAACTCCTGGACTCAAGCAGTACTTCTCAGCCTCACTAAGTGCTGGGATTACAGGCATGAACCATCATGCCCCACAGGAATATATATTTCTAACAAATTCCCTGGTGATGCTAGTGCTGCTGATCTGGAGACCACACTTTGAAAATAAAGGGCTTAGAACATCCCAGGTTCAAAATAGGGAAACTGATAAATATTTGTTGAATTAATTAATTCATTCACTTGACAACTTGAGAACTTCTTGAACTCCCTCTGAAAGTGAATAAATGAAATAATATTCCTTACATTAGTATTTTCACATCTTCACTCATCACAGTAGCTAATAGAGAAAGCTCCAATTTTAACAATGGGTGGACAGAGGTAAGCTAGGAAAGGAAAACCTCTTATTCATTGTTTATTGTGGTAAAACCTACAAAACATAAAATTTACCATCTTAACCATTTTAAAGTATGCAGTTCATCACTTCTCAGCCTTTTGGCTAAGATCAAGTGTAAAGTATGCAGTTTAGAAGTACATTCACATCATTCACATTGTTATGCAACCAATCTTCAGAATTCTTTTCTTTTCTTTTCTTTTTTTAAGATGTAGTTTTGCTCTTGTTGCCCAGGCTGGAGTACAGCAGTGCAATGTCCGCTCACTTCAACCTCTGCCTCCAGGGTTCAAGTGATTCTCCTGCCTCAGACTCCCAAGTAGCTAGGATTTAGGCGCCCACCACCATGCCTGGCTAATTTTTTGTGTTTTTAGTAGAGATGGGTTTTCACCATCTTGGCCAGGCTGGTATCAAATCCCTGACCTCAAGTGATCCCCCTGCCTCGAACTCCCAATGTGCTGGGATTATAGGTGTGAGCCAACGTTACTGGCTTAGAACTTTTCATCTTGCAAAACTGAAACTCTATGCCCATTAAACAACAACTTCTCATTCCTCACATTTGCAGGGAAACTTTTATTTTACACATTAACTTGTGCCAAGATAAAGTGAGTCCCTATTTAGAATTAGCAACCTGTATTCTCAATTTTGGTGAATGAACCATAATCCACTCACCATTTCAGAAACCTGGGAGTTACTTTGACCTCTCTGGCTCTTCATTGTTGTAGTAATTCAACAATCCCTGTTTATCAAGTTGATAAATGGCAACGAAGGAAACATCTGGAGTGCTCACTTGACGGGGTTTAAGCCTGAATCGGTCCCATAGAGGGCTTCGTGGACTTAGATAAGTAATTTAATTTTTCAGAAACTTGTTCTTTTTTGGAGGCTGGGCACAGTGTCTCATGCCTGTAATCCCAGCATTTTGGGAAGCCAAGGCAGTCAGATCACTTGAAGCCAGGAGTTGGAGACCAGCCTGACCAACATTGTGAGACCCCGTCTCTACTAAAAGTATAAAAATTAGCTGGGCATGGTGGCAGGTACTTGTAGCCCCAGCTACTCAGGAAGCTGAGGCAGGAGAATCGCTTGAACCTGGGAGACAGAGGTTGCAGTGAGCCAAGATTGTGCTACTCCACTCCAGCCTGGATGACAGAGCAAGACTCCATTTCAAAAAAAGAAAAGAAACTTGTTCTTCTTTTTTGTAACTAG